ATAGATAGATAGATAGATAGATAGATAGATAGATAGATAGATAGATAGATAGATAGATAGATAGATAGATAGATAGATAGATAGATAGATAGATAGATAGATAGATAGATAGATAGATAGATAGATAGATAGATAGATAGATAGATAGATAGATAGATAGATAGATAGATAGATAGATAGATAGATAGATAGATAGATAGATAGATAGATAGATAGATAGATAGATAGATAGATAGATAGATAGATAGATAGATAGATAGATAGATAGATAGATAGATAGATAGATAGTTAGATAGATAAATAGATAGATAGATAGAGTAGTAAATAGATAAATAGATAGATAGATAGATAGATAGATAGATAGATAGATAGATAGATAGATAGATAGATAGATAGATAGATAGATAGATAGATAGATAGATAGATAGTTATATAGATAGATAGATAGATAGATAGATAGATAGATAGATAGATAGATAGATAGATTGGAATATGCATAAGCTTTTTGACCAATGAATTAGGTGAATGAAAACAAATTTTGGAAAAAAACAAAATCATGTGGCTTGTTTTGATAAATATAAATTATATTGAATTTAGCTGAACACAATACTTGCAAACATTGAAATCTCAATCAAAATTAAAGCTAACCTATTTATTAAAAATTAGTTTTCAGAAGTGGAAAAACAATAATAAAAACCAGATGAGTAGATAACTAATAAAAGGATTTCAAACGAACCGATGTCTTATTAACAAATGTTATGGTTTAAACTATAATCGATTGGACAGTGTTCATAGAAAAGTGACTGATTACTTTGCATTTTCTCAAATAAATATTCTACCTTTAGTATATCATAATTTGAAGGGATACAATGAAATCCTATTGAAAGAGAGTTTTAGTGCAAGATAACTGTTGATGGAGTTTTGTTCTCTAAGCTGGATAACTCATACCTCCTAACTACCTATAAAAAAGAAACCTATTAAAAGAACTGGAATTCTATGAGATAAAACTGATGTTTGATAGTTAAGCAGTAGATTTACATGAGTAGTTTCATAGAGGAAGTTTTGGTACATCATTTTTTAAAACAATGAGTTGTAGACAATTTTGATAAAAATGAAAACTAAACTCTTCCACGTCGATACACCTGATACAAGACTAAGACGCTCAAAAGCCGTATAGTTTTACATCATATTCCTGGTATCAATGAGCAAACCTAGGTTTGACTTTAGATGAGTATATGTTGTTGGGAAGTAACATTGAAAGGCATGTCTGTAGTTTTAAAAGAACTGATTTTTCTTGTCAAACTCTAAAACGCACCACTCAATTTCACAGTCTGAAACGTTATATCCAGCCAGACAGTACCTAAATATAGAGCAACCAATATCGAGTCACATAGACTAGTGGTTGATAGACTTAGATTAGCACTAAGAGCTAGACAAAAATATCGGTTACTATTTAGTGATCAGTTATTAGAAACCTACATTTCTTTATCATACCCGATAGATTGCTTTTATACATGATTTTGACTGTTAAAACAAAAAATTCGTCCTATTAGACACATCTTTCACATCCTTTAATGATTTTTACAATTACTGATTTCATCAAGTTGTTTCACAAAAAGCCTGATTTGACAGGTTTCACTAATCATGCCTTAAGAAATAGAATATTTGAGGGCTAACGGTTATTCTGACTAAAAAGTACTACTGATGATTAGTTCCAAACTTTTTCATCAAATAAGTAACACGATACGGCTATAAATCATATTTCCACTTTATCTCAACTATCAAAGTATATAAAGACCAGGGGGGCATTTTAAAGCTGCTTCATCTCCTTAGTTATAGACTCTTCATTTTAATCCAGAGAGTTAATATATACTTAGTATATTGTTAATACTACTTTATAAGATAGAAAATAATATTCTAACTAATATGGTGCAAAACGATCTTTAAAAAATGATAAACAGATGAATACATTTTCCGTGTTTAATTATTATTAAAATGATTGATATATTTCTCCATCTGATTTCAAAATAAGTAGAATGTATGAAAAACTTATTGTTTGATTGATTGTATAAAAATTACATGACAAATGATGAGAAATACTTTTAAATTCACTTGATATTGTTTACTTGTATCTTTCCATTGTTATTTAGGACTGCAACTGATCAGTCTCTTGTTGGCATATGTGCATCTTGTGCGGACTGCATCGATATTGCCTTAGGTCACAAGCTTTATGAGTAAAGATAGATGGTGGTTAGCAGTGGAATTCAGGACGCGCGTTTCGTTCTATTTGGGAATCGTCAGCTGGATGTACCAGCATCTCACAATTGATGTTCACTCTGAAACTCGAACCCAGAACCTTTGAACAAGTAAGTGGCTATCAGGACTCAGTAGCTAAGCGAACGGCACTCAGTTCGAGTCCCAGGGTGAACATCAACTCTGGGATGCAGGTACATCCAGTTGATGAATCCCAAATAGGACGAAACCTGCGTCCTAGATTCCTCACTATTACTTACCTGGTGATCCCAGCAGATGCAAGTAAAATTTCTAAAGTATTTTTGGTAAAATACTTATAGCTTACGAGTATCTTCTACTCTTAATGACCGTTTTTTGCAACCGTAAAGTAAAACAGAACAAACTGCCGCGCAATATACACGCCCCTTAATTGATAGACGGATATCTCGCCTTCATTTTAGGTGACGTAAGTTGGCAAAAGCCAAACGAGCTTTTCGAATCCGTGCTGAGATTTCTTCAGACACCAACCCATTAGGGCTGATCAGACTTCCAAGATAAGTGAAGTTGTCAACGCGTTCGACTACTTCACTCCCTATCCTTAGTTCAGGTGTTGACGCAGACTAGTTCTGAAGCAGCAGCTTGCATTTAGAGGGGGAGAAGCGCATTCCAAACATTCTGGCATTGTTGCTTAGTGCTACCAGAAGACTCTGCATTTTACCAGCGTCTTCACCAAACAGGACTATATCATCTGCGTATTCTAAGTCGATAAGTGGACCTCCTGGTAGGAGATCAATGCTCGGAAATTCAGTCGACGAGAATGTCATTTCCATCAATAGGTCTATGATGAAGTTCAACAAAAATGGAGAAAGTGGACAGCCTTGACGGACACCACTTGAGGTTGCAAAAGTAGATGACAGTTCACCATAAGCTCTGACTCGACTAGTAGTGTTCGAGTAAAGAGCCTTTACAAGGTTTATGTACTTCTGAGGTACGTCTTTCAGTGACAAACACTGACACCGAACCTCTCGGCCTACAGAGTCAAATGCTACTTTTAAGTCGAGAAAGACCACCATTTTCGGACGCCGATAAGTATGCCTATGTTCTAGAACCTGACGAATAGTAAATATGTGGTCGACCTAATAGAATACATAAATGTGTAAATTGTTATTGAAATGCGTATAAATAATTCATCTTATTAATTTTTTTATTTACCCAGATCTTTAGAGTTAATTATAATTTAAGCAAAAAAAATATCTAAACTTAATATATCACATATTAAACAATAAAATTTGAATATAATTACTATGTTAAATCATTTATATGAAGTAATAAGAAAAACTTTTCCTGGAGAAGGTTCAGTGGTTTCTGTTTATCAGTGAGTGTTTTTTTTTCTGTATGGTTTATCTGATTTCAATTAATCATTGAAAACATTGTTTAAAAGAAAAGTCTTTTTTCAAAAAAGAACAACAAATCATTGAACTGTAATATTTGAACAACAACAACAACAACAAGAAGAAATAGTTGACTTCAACATCTACCAATATTAATGCAGTTTGTATTGATTCAATAATGTACAAGTTGACGAAAAATAAATTTATTTTACAGAAATGTCGAATTATTGATTTTATGCGATTAGTAACTATCTTCTAATTAAATTAAATATTTAAATAATTTGATTAGAGGGGATCTAATTTTTTTTTCCGAATTTAGAAGATTTTCCATACAGATATAATTTGGTATTGAATACAATTAATTTAATTCAATGCCAAATAAACTAATATATTCGATCTTTGAATTAATTAATTATTATTTAGTCGTAACTAAGTTTTCGTCAGTTTTATATAAAGCATCCAGTATCTTAAATATTTGTTTATTCATGTGAAACTAATCGAATAATTTATATAAAAGAATATTGGAAAGAATTTTACCAACTGATTAGTTCATTTGTATCCAAAAAGTACTGATCAAGCATAATCATCGGTTGATTAAATCTAAAGAAATTAAGATTACTGGTCGATTATTTTCTTCTATTCTGAAATGTTGTATAAGTATACACTCGAAATAGTCATCCAGATTGAACAAACTACTCTTAGATTGAATAATAGTTACATTTTCCATTATAAAATAAATATTCGCAACTGTATTAAAATAAATGGGATGAACTTGATGTTGACTATTTACCAGACAGTGATTAATCTTTAGATAAACTCCTGATTAATTTAAGGGTCGGAGTATTATGTATATAGATCAATGCAACTAATTACATACGAATATTACTAACTAAGAAATCGATGAGACTATAATATATGAACGAACCAATGAGGTTTGAGACAGTAGGTGTTGAATTTTGGCACGAAACTCATCCATAAATATAACTAAATAACATTTTGGCATTATAGTTGATATCGGTTTGTGGTGAAAACCCTAACTCTAATTCCTAACCCTAACGTACAACTATAAATCCTAATCATAATTTGATCAACAGGAGCACTAAAAAAAACTAGATAAATTTTAAATGGTAAAACTCTAGTGAAATACGGACTAGAGCAAATATTCATTCAAAGTACTAATAATTCAATTATATACAAATACCTAAACTAATACATATTTTTATTAGGATGAATAAAATTTGGTGATACTCTTAATAAGTTAAGTAATTTAGACAAAATTGGTGAATGGTTATTTTGCCTAAATTAAAACAGAATCCGTCAATCTACAGATTAAAAAAAGTACTTCATTTATTGATATTTACAACTAATTTATTTTACCTTTTTAAAAATTTCATATTTTCTTGCTGTCTATGTATACATGAAGACATCATAATTTGTTGAAATGTACGTCGATCTAATGTCCATGCTGAAGCATTGGTTACAGCTAATATTTTGAAGAAAGATAAATTAAACATTAAAAAAGGTTTTGTATTATCTCTCAAGATGATAACTAAGCATTATTAAGTTTTATTCACAAATTCATAATACAAGATAGATATTTTGTGTATATATATACTTTGATATACAGTTATTTAGACTTTCAGTACAGTGTTTGTGTACACCACTAATAGAGGTGGATGAAGGAATGACTTAATAGTTGAAATAAACGAATTTCAATCATTTGATTGAGTTCGGAGAAACCTTCCACTGCAGTATGCACCACCTATGGGAACAAGTATAAGTCGTATGTATCTGGAATCGCAAGTGGGATTCTCACTGGCAGAAGAGAAAAACTAAGGGGAAAAATAAAAACAGGGAGTGGCCGAAGTAACAACAAGAATAGAAGAATGATTAGGTTTGTAAGAGACAGCCCAAAGACAATGTGCAAATAGTGTGTTTAATGTATTGTTTCCATGTTTTACAAATTCAGTGTGTAATTTTTTATAATACAATTGTTTTTTCCGTGCTTGGGTTTTTTGTACGTTACACCTCTGTCTACTTCGATTCGGGTGGCTGGGTATAACTAGCTGTGATAACTGAGTATGTAAATCTCTGAATGTTTAAAAAAGTACAAAACACATTTTAGTGGCCCACGAATATCCGACTCTAATTGGATCTCGTGATTATCGCTATCGACTTATGCATAACGTCAATCCATGTATATAATCATCGACTTAACTCACGTTAGTGATTAACGGAATTAAATAGATTAAATACGAGAATAGATCTTGAATACGTATATTTCATATATTCGTTGGTCTAGACAGACGATCAGAGAAACGCAGTGAAGTGGATAGTAAGTAAAGCGAAACGGAACGACACTCAGTGAAGAAGGTATATGAGCCAACTCACTTGACTTAAGCGTTATTCAATATTTATAATCAAATCAAATCAAAGAGAAGGGAGGCAAAGGCTAAGCGAGGAAAAGTGAATAATTAACAAGGTTAAAATGTGATTCAAGAAGAATGAATAAATTGGCCTGTCCGGAAGCTAGAATAAGCTATTTGGGCCCGACATAGGGCTAGCCACTATAACATTAATATTTCATGAAATATGATCAACCAATCCTAAGAAGTAGATGTAAACCGTTCTATAGTTTCATACTCCGATAATTTATTTTATACTGAATAGTATGCTGCTATAAACCACTAAATCATTTCCACTATCTAGTAAAATGCCCAAAATTCCCTGGTACAGCCGAGAGTGGGGAGAGTCCACTCTCCCTCTCGAAATGCTCTCACATGGCCACACGTATATAGCCTCTACCAGGGAAGTCCTACTCACTGCCTTCTCGTGGCGGGGGTGTTGTTTACGAAAATGAGAGGACGAAAAGTGAATGTCCGGCGCTTTAACCGGATCCCAAATCAATGGTGCATATGGGCTCCAGTATCCTGCGGGAACGAATGGCGTATGAACCAATTTTCGGTCACCGGCTACCATGGGAATGCATGTCCTTACGATGCTCCACTGCCTTGTGGGTTAGACCTTTAGGTCAAAGGCTCAGGGTGTGGCCCCCTAAGATAACCACCTGCTTCGGTCTGGGCACCCGGGCAGTATCACAGCCCACACGCAAATGATGAACTCTCTATATCTATGGAAACTACATTTCTCGCTCCGAATAACAGTCAAATGATCCAAATTATTATCATTACTATTATTATCATTATTATTACTGTTAGTATTATTATTTACTACATCATTATTCACCCTTTTTTATTCCTACTCCGTCTATACTTATTTTTTCAGTTTATACAGCAGCTCGTCTTTGGTGGAAATTCGACTCTATCTAAACGTTCTCGAGTCACTGTCCGGTTGAAAATTGTATGTTACCACCGAATATGAGTACTGAAGCAGTTTTTCTGAAACCACGTGCACCATTCAAACTGGCTGCTTTCAACGTTCGCACACTTATACAGGTCGGGCAACAGATAGGGCTGGCTATGTCCTAGGAAAGTCTTAATATTGATGTTTGTTGTCTATCCGAGACCCGTATTCAAGACTCTGGTGAAGTACTACAAATTCGATCTCCATCTGTCGCTTCAAAAAGCTTGTTTTACGTGCGCTTATCCGGGGATCCTGTGGCATCTTCGTCTGGTCTCGCTGGCGTTGGTGTCGCACTGAGCGCTAGAGCTGAGGCAGCACTAATCGATTGGATCCCCATTAACAGTCGGTTATGTGCTGTTAGATTAGAGTTCCATCAAAGTGAGAAGAAATCGGCGTGAGAAACGATGTCTTTTCGTCATCTCCGCCTATGCCCCGACAGATTGCAGCCCGGATGCAATCAAGGATGAGTTTTACCATCAGTTAACTGTTCTTCTCCAAAACGTGCGTTCGACAGATATTGTAGTACTAGCCGGAGACTTGAATGCTCAGGTCGGGCGTCTAGGCACAGAAGAGAGTCGTTTGGGTGGCCGATGGGGACTTGTTGGTCGCAGGACAGATAACGGGGACCGTCTACTGCAACTATGCACAGACCACAATCTGTTTCTGGCTAGCACTAACTTTCGGCACAGTCATCGCTGATGTGCTACCTGGCGTCCTCCCTCTGCATCTCAAGCCTTGACTCAGATTGATCACATCGCAATCAGCTACCGCTGGCGTAGTTGTATACAAGACTGCCGCTCCTTCTGGAGTACCTATCTGGACTCTGACCATGCCTTGGTCTGCGCCAATCTTGCCTTACTTTTCAGTGGACAACGAAGTGACCACCATCAACGGATTGATGTCAGCAAGTTGGTTGCAGCTTCTGTTGCAAGTAAATATCGAACCGAGCTAGCTTTTAGGCTAGCTACCATTCCACCGAAAAGTATAGATGAGCATTGGTCGCAATTGCATGACACCATGAAAATGTCGAGTAAAGTGAGTTGTGGGTTTGCAAAATGTCCCACTTATAAGCACTGGGTTTCTTCTGGTTCCTTACAACCCATTGAAGCCCGTCGGTCTACTCCGGGTGACCGTGAGTTTGACCATAAACGAAGGATGTTACGTAAGGAAATTGGGCAAAGCTTGCGTAAGGACCGAGAAGCCTGGTGGTCGATGCGTGCTAATGAGCTGGAAGCAGCAGCTGCATCTGGTAACTACCGGAAGCTCTTCCAGCTCATCCGAGCCACTGGCAGCAAGAAGTCTGGTGTGAGTGAAACAATCTGCGAGGATGACGGGATGCCAATCACTAACATCCATCGACGTCTTGGCTGATGGGCAGAATTTTTTGAAGGGCAGTTCAACTGACCTGCTGCTCCGGCAACATCGGTCAGACTGTCCTGCCCTCCATGGCCGGTGACGACTGATCCACCAAATGAGGAGGAAGTCCGCAAGGAACTCCAACTCTTGAAACGTTACAAATCACCTGGCCCAGATGACTTACCTCCGGCTCTTTTTAAAGATGGTGGTGACTTTCTGACTAAGGAATTGACTATGTTGTTTACAAAGGTCTGGGAGCTAGAGAGTGTACCAACGTCATGGAATGAGTCGATAGTTGTCCCTATCTTTAAAAAGGGTTCACATCGTTCCTGTAACAAATATCGGGGGATAAGTCTACTTACGACTGCGTCCAAGCTATTGGCTTCCGTCATTCTTCGTAGGTTGTTCAAGACCCGAGAAAGATTGACTCGCGAGGAGCAGGCTGGGTTTCGTTCTGGTCGAGGATGTATTGATCATATCTTCACCCTCCTCCAAATGTTAGAACACCGCCATACTTATCAAAGGCCAACAATCGTAGTGCTTCTTGACATCAGGGCTGCCTTCAATTCGTTGGACAGAACTGTTCTCTGGGATTGTCTATTGAAGAAGGGTGTGCCTGAGAAGTTTATTAACATCCTAAAAGCCCTATATACAAACACCTCAGGCAGAGTGAGGGCATGCAACCATCTTTCTCCATTGTTCCATACGAGCAGTGGGGTTAGGCAGGGTTGCCCAATCTCACCATCCCTCTTCAACTTTGCCATCGATGAAATTCTGGAAACAGCTCTGATGAATGTAAGTAATGGTGGTGTGGATCTGTTGCCTGGAGAGAGACTTCTCGACCTTGAGTATGCGGACGATATTGTCTTACTGTGCGACAATGCCCAAGCCATGCAATACGCACTTAATCAGTTGGCAATCAGTGTCCGTAGGTATGGTATGTGCTTTGCACCTTCGAAGTGCAAAGTACTTCTACAAGACTGGCAGGATTCTAACCCTGTACTCACTCTGGATGGTGAGCAGATAGAAGTAGTCGAGAAGTTCGTGTATCTGGGTAGCTGTATGAGTGCTGGTGGAGGTGTGAGTGATGAGATCAATGCACGTAGTGAAAGCCAGAGCGGCTTATGCCAATCTGGGCCATCTTTGGCGTCTTCGTAATGTTAGTCTGGCTATAAAAGGTCGGATCTGCAAGGCGTCGGTGAGAGCAGTTTTGCTCTATGCTTGTGAAACCTGGTCTCTCCGAGTTGAGGATGTTAGACGGCTCTCTGTGCTTGATCATCGTTGTCTCTGGAGGATTTCTGACATCCAGTGGCAACACCATGTTAGTAATGCAGAGGTTCGGCATCGTGTGTTCGGGCACAGAGATGATAATGCATTTGGTGTTACCATCTTGAAACACCGACTTCGGTGGCTTGGACATGTTTTACGAATGTCGTCCCAGAGAATTCCACGTCGTGCATTATTTGCCGACTCTGGGACTGGTTGGAGGAAGCGGAGAGGTGTTCAGTGTATGACATGGTGTCGTGGTATGAAAGAAAGCTGCAAGGACTGGCTTGTGTTGGTCCTTCCCGACTCCCTGGTTGGGGTCTGAGAGATGGTGCTACACAGTGGCTAGAGACGTTATCAGATATGGCTCAGAATAGAAGCCAGTGGCGATCCTTCTGTAACCTTTTACTTTCTTCATAAAAAGTGGTTGTGTCTCCCTTACCTGAAAGATTTCTTCTGATTGTACCTGTCTGTTCCGCCGTTTTTACCATCATTATTATTACACCACCTTACATCAATCTCTTTTTTTTCTCCTTCCCCTTAAATTCTCATTGTTTTGTGTGGCGCATATATATTTGGCGCATTCTTGTACCAATATTTGTGTTCAAATAAATAAATAAATAATAATCTAGTAAAATTGGAACTCTTATTACAGAATTATGAAATTTTTCAAAATTCTCACCATTTATTCACATATACACATTAAGTCACGAAATGTCAGAAATACAATTTTTCTACTCATTTAAATATAACAAAAATATATTTTCACACTTCAATAGAAAAAGGTTAAATGGTTATTATAACCGCGAGAACTGATCATGAAACAGGGTGAAACTATCCTATTTTATCTAATCCTAACAATATTAACTCACAGGGTAATAGATTCATAACTAAATGAACAAAGTATAATTTATTTATAACTAAGTATTATATGAAATAATTGTCCTCTTGACACGTATAAGAACGTTGAGAAGACAACTAATGAAGTGGTGATAATTACGAAAGAAAAGATATACAAAATTTAGAAAGGAAAATAGTTTTATGTCATGGTGAAATAATTTATGAAAAAAATGTTTAGTAACGATATTGTATCCATAGAAATCCTTTTTTTTGTATATCCATTGAAGTTTAACATATGAAACATTAAATTTCTATTAATTAATTCGATGATTATAAGTTTATCATGGAACTTAAAATGTCTTATGTTTGATGCCATGTTATCTCTTCTATATGGGTTGAAGATAAATTATAACTTGGAACAAATCAATCCTTCAGTGCTTTCTTATTGTATAGGGATTTTTTAACTTAAAATTATCAAAAAATTCTAAAAATTTCAGAAACATAATACTTAGTTCTTAACGAAATGTGAATGAAAGCGTTATTGATAGATGATCATCCTATTGTCAAGTTACAGTAGATATTACTAAACAGAAATCAAGATCAACTGATAGTCAGAATAGCAATATAGAAGTAATTTCCCTTCTCATTATGTTATCCTCACCTCGAACAGATGCAGTTCGTTTACAGTTGTAAAGTAATGCTAATTCACCAAAAGCTCGACCCACTTCCATTCGTCCAAGTAATGCATTATCTTTGTATACTTCCAATATTCCATCTAATAACAAAAATATAGACAAAAAAGATGAGGAAAATAAAGTAAATCTATATGGATATTTGTCAAGATTTGAACGGAAAATTTGATAGAATTTCAGCGTCAAGTATATAGAAGATAATTAATTCTATGTAGAAATTATATCTGGAATAATTTCTGAGGTTGATATTTAAATAACTCCAACTCTTCTTACAACAGACAGCTCTAAGATTCTTCAAGGAAGAAAGATTTAGCATACTAATGCGTTATTAACGAACATTCAAAATTCAGGGAAGTAGTTGGTGAATTTATTTATTGCCTATAAAACCTTTTATCTGCTAATGTGGAATTTTCCTGTTTTTATATTTATACAGTGTTGTGTCTAGGTTGAAATCCTTTATAACCAATAATTTAGTAATTATTATTGTGTTATATTATTATATGGAACAGGTCAAACAGGTCCCAGTATAACAAGCAAATAAGTTGAATATCACTTTTCATGGTAGAGTAGGGGAAATATGGACGATTAAAAATTATATCCTTACATATCTTGTCGATCATGTATATCATAATACCGTGTAGTCAGCTTTTATACGTATCTATGACATAGCATCTACACTACTCGGTGTTTCAAGACTTCAAGAAATCCATACGAATCCAAATGAATAAATCTGACTTACTTGTACACACAATGTTTGTAAGGCGCCTCCCTTCTGCTCGACTGTCAATCGACAATGAAACACTACAAAATGGAACCCAAGACAACCCTCTTGTCAAGCTAAATACTTATATTCTTTATTCTCGTATTTAAGTAATGAACACTAGTGACTGATTAAATAACTAGCTTATTCATCCACTTTATTAATTATTACATGGCGTTACGCAACTTCCTTCAGCTTAAGTATTCTTATTATATAATGATTTTATTAGATATGCACATATATATCTGGCCCCTCAACAAAACACCTCTTATCCTTTAAAATAATTATTGTGTATTCGTATAGACCACATAGCTCAGTCAGTTGTTGAAATTAGTTATCACAAGATAAATCACTCTGAATAATAATAACAATAATAATAATAATAATAACAATAATAATACGGGACGCACGTTTCGTACCTGCTAGCCATCGTCCATCTTTGCTTATAATGCTTGTAGATTAAGGCAATATCGAGGCAATACGCACAGTATGCACATATGCCAATAAGTGACTGATTAGTTGCAGTCCTAAACATCAATCCGAGGATTCGGACAACCAATACAAAAATGAATGATCTCGTTTAATTTCACAGTTCCTTATCAAATCCTTATAAGCTAAGCATAATAGTAACATTCGTTAAAATCACTTTACGTAATTTATATTATATTATGAAAGTTCCCATCAATAACGATTCATAAAAACAGCGATAAGTATGGAAGAACTTATATGATAAACATTATCAATGTTTATAAGTTGAATATGTGAATATTCGAGAGTGAAAACTATGAGAACGGAACCGGAATTATTTAAAATGATATAATTATGATGTAGTTATGTAATCCATGAAATATTAAATAAACTGAATAGACTAAATAAGTGAATATCATATAATAACTGAGAATTAATAATTAGTGTCATGAAAAGTAAAATTCCATAACAAATGTGTATGAATGAGGTCAATACAGCAAGGCGAGATTGATAGCTGAGTCTTTTTGGATGCGTAAATTAGGTTTAAATCTTTTTTATGGTATCTGCTTCAGCAAAACTTAGTAAATCCGATATTCTATGTTAAACCCTGGAGAAATTTGGGACATAAACACCATGACCACTGTCAAACCGGTTGCTTGCTATCGAAATACTGAAAACGTGTTACCCTTTTAATCTCAGCTTCTGTGAAATATGCTCGGAAATGCAGACACTAACCCTTCTTTTTGTTCCTCCGATATACGTGCTTTGGCACGTTCATTTCAGCTGATAGACTTGTAAGTCTATATTTAATCAGTTTATTTTATTTAATGTTTCATGGATTACATAACTACATCATAATTATATCATTTTAAATAATTCCGGTTCCGTTCTCATAGTTTTCACTCTCGAATATTCACATATTCAACTTATAAACATTGATAATGTTTATCATATAAGTTCTTCCATACTTATCGCTGTTTTTATGAATCGTCATTGATGGGAACTTTCATAATATAATATAAATTAAGTAAAGTGATTTCAACGAATATCACTATTATTCTCATACATATAATTCCCTTTATCTTAAAGAGAGAAAAATCGAAGATCGGTGCCGAATGATATGAATTTTACTTTGTTTCGCTAGGTTCTCATCAGCTGCTTACAACGTTATTACATATATCGACACATTCATTATTATGAAGGTGAATAGAAATGAATGTGTGTATCATAATGTAGCGAAGATTCTGATAGAGATAATAAGGTCATAAAAATGCTGTTTCTCGAACATTGAAATAGTGATTAGAAATCATAAAGTTAATAAACATTAGATGATTATGTAATGAAGCAACTGTAAGCAGATTAATGGCAATAAACAAAGATATGAAATGAAATCAGTTAGTTATGAATTGAAGGAGAATGACAATGATGTAATCAAACTTCAGAAAGAATTGAAACGATGAATGACGCAATAAATAAATAAACGGATATAATGTTACCAAGGCGAAGAAAGACCTATTACGGCTTCGTTTTGGATACATAGATCTGGTTTTAGACGTTTGATCGCTATGGCTTCGGGAAATTTCAAAAGATTGGAGTTTGATTGTTTGTGAGTCACCTTGAAAGATTTCAGTGTATCGACTTACTGTCCTGTGTCAGTGAGATATCTTGAGATAGCACTACTGAATGCTTTTAATCTACTTGACATTAGACTTTTCGGAATATGTTTACTTTATAAAGGTTTGATGAGAAACCGTGAAATAAACGAAGTTCATGTTATTCTGTTATATTGATTGTTCTTGCTTTAGTTAAGTTTATCAATGGGGAAAATCATATGAAAGAGAAAATGTAGTTATCTAATTTATTACCTAACAGCAGAAAATTTATCTCCTTCTCCGAAGATTATAGAATAGGATAAACTTTAAAGAAATACGAGAATGCCCAGCAGTAGAATCCTGTACAACTATATCATATCATCTCCATCTACCTGGGTCCCAGCATTGATCTTTACACCGACTCAAACCTAATATCTTTCGGTTGTGACTACAAGGTAAATTGTAAAACTCAGTTCAGGACACACATACACCAACAACAATTCATTGTGAGTAATGGTGAATATCAACAACGCGACACTACAAAATTCTATTATCATTATTAAATAAATCATTTTAAAGAATGATGAGTCATTCCAACTAACAAGGAACTATTCATGAAAGTAAAAAGGAAATTAGGGAAACGAAGCAACAAAAAAACTTGTGAAACTTTTTCACTATCAATAAAGTATTACCTGAAACAACATACAATGCATCGCCTGGTTCACCTTCACGTATAATAAAGCATCCATGAGGTATTTGTTTTTTATACATACAAGCTACTATTTCTTCAATTTGTGATTGTTCTAAATGCTTCAAAAATGTATTATTACTGATAGCATCTCGAATTAAACTAGAAGACCTGTTTTGAAAAACGATGGGTTTTTCGAGTGAAAAAAAATAAAAACACAGAGAAGTTATAAGTATCATTAAAAGAATATCATCAATGAGGTTAAAAAGTTTGATCTGATTAATGTAAATAATTTTCATTTGTAAATCACTTTAAAAATCACCTGTCAATATTATTTTTCGGCTCAACTTCTTAAAGACCATTAATTATACTCAAATTAAATGATAATGTCCTATTTCAATAGTTGAAATCATGAGTCAATTGAAGCTAGACCACCATGGAAAACCTGGAAGCCCACTGAAGATAATGGTGGATGGTGACGCGATTTCGTGAATTGGTTGAAGTTAGACATTAACACCGTTGGATGCCGGCCGGCTCAGTGGTCTAATGGTTAAGCGATCGCGCGCGAAGGGTGCGGGATCGTGGATGCGCACTGCCGAGGAGTCCCATACTAAGACAAAACGGCCGTCCAATGCTTTCACGTTTTCCATGCTGGTCTAGCTTCAATTGACTCATGATTTCAATTATTGAACTTACTAAAATCTCCATAAAACCCCTTCTAATAATATCCTATTTGTTATTATTTCGTACTAGTTATATTTTTTCATAAATGCTAAATCTCATAACTGATTATCCAAATTTAACTATGAAAATATAAAATTATCAACTACATGTTCAGTGAAACTGAAAAGTATAAGTCTTAATGATAGGATCATGTCTCGATCTTGGTTAGATCAATCATTGAATAATCGGAGGCACTGAATAGCTGCTTTTGTTCTAGTACGAGACTCCTAGTCAGTGTGCACTCATCGACATATCATGGGGTATACAACTCAGGATCTTTGGTCCCTTATGTAAGCGCCTAACCCTTAGATCATCTAAATGTGTGCACGTCTAAATTCAATCGATTCGCGATATTGTACAACCACCTTCTATTGCTAGAGGTATATAACCGCCTCATACCCGATATGTTTGAACTCCACTAAAGTATGAACTAATGGTCTTCGCTAATATTAAACTATATAAAAATGTTAACTATGTTCAGATAGAATTTGTTACTTCTTTCTTTTACATCAGAATGACCTACAATATAAATATTTTTATAAAAATTTAAGCATAGATCGCCTGAAGGCAGGCATTTCATACTGATTAACGAACGATGTTATTCATATAATTTTTTTGTTACCAAATAAATCTCTACAAGGACATATAACCTATAAATACTCTTTGAGTGTATCTAACACACTTATCTGGTTAAAATAGTCAATTATTCTAAGGATGTATACAATACCAATTCCTATAATTTTAGATATCATATAATTTAATGAACGATGCAAAAAGACTGGTGTTTTCTTTTACCTTCGACTGTAACTACAGAAATCTGTATTTTTTTGAAAAAAATATCTTTGACAATAATTTATCTCTATGTATGATAATTAGTTCAGGGAACTGCATTTTATTAAAATCAAAAAGCGAATAGATGTTAATGTTGTGTTCTATTATATAGACTGGTTCTGTTTAAAAGTATCGATCAGTTAGATTTGGGCCCATGTCATATTAATCAATTCAATATTGTAACAGATAACAAGTAAACTAACTATGAAACTACCAAACATTCATTAAATTAAAATCTTACACACAAGCACTTTATAACGAACCAATCATCTTATAATTAAACTTATGGTGTATCAAGTTCTAGAAACTTTTAACATTTATGAAACATAACTTCGTTGTATAGGTTAAAAAGAGAATGGGATCATTTGAAATTTATTCGTTATGTTTTCTATTCTTAAAATTCTTATAAATAATATCAAACTGATTGTTGGTACCGTCTGTTTATCAAGTAGAAAAATTACGAACATTATTCATTTATCAATTCATTTTGTCAGTATTGTCTATTGAGAAGTTATATACGTTCATCTGTTAAATTTTAATTGAATTCAACTATTTCTTGAATATGTGACTCATTAACTGAATCTGCATATCAACTGATGAGTCGTAAATGAGATAAAACACATGTACATTATTCCATTTTTAGTCACAATCCAAATGTACTAAGCAAAATTGTCCCAAGATTATCCGTTGAGGATGGATATTAGCCAATATAGACTGTTTAATTAAAATCCTTTATATCGGCAACAGGAAAGTCGAAGCCCTAAAACATATGTTTCTATATGTTACAGATTTCCTTTAAATATTTATTAATTTTTAAACATCATTTAGTAAAAATATTTGTTCTTCAAACTTGAACAGAACCTTTATAAAAATATGTTTATAATGGTCCTTTCATTTTAAGTGATATGAATCTTTCTATTTGGCTGCATCATTGGCTGACATCATTTTTTATACTTAGGTTTTATTTATTTATTTATTTGAACACAAAAATATTGGAACAAGGGAGCACCAAACACATATGCGCCACACAAGTCACTTGATTTGGGTGTGGGCTATGATATTGCCCGGGTGCCCAAACCAAAGCAGGTGGTTTTCTTAAGGAGGCACAACCGGAGCCTTCGACCTCAAGGTTTGATCCACAACACAATGGAGCAACTTCAGAAGATGCAGTACCATGGTAACCGGTGAACAGCGATTGGTTCATACGCGATGTGTTCCTTCAGGATACTGGAGTCTATGTGCATCATTGGTTTGGAATCAGAGTTTTCCAACTCCCCTAGTTGGATCCTCCATATCTATCAACCCGGTCAAAGCGTCGTACATTCGCTTTTCGTCCTTTCAATTTCGTAGCCAACAGCCCCGCCACGAGGATGAAGTGAGAAGACCTTCCCTGGCAGTGGTTATATGCATGTGGCCATGTGAGAGCATTTCGAGAGGGGATAGCTGACTCTCCCCACCTTCAGCCGTACCACTTATGTTACCACTACTATTGTGGTGTGCGCTAGATATAAGTAGTATATGGGAGGAATATGAAGTGGAATGGCTACCAGCAGATGATTGAAATGAAGAGAACAGGTAAGAAATGGAGAGCAGTCAAAATAACAACAGAATTGGAAAAATGATGGAGTATGTAAAGGACAGCTCAAGGAAAATGTGCAAATGATATATTTAATATCTGATTTCGATATTTTACAAAGGCATTGTGTGAGTTTGCATGAAACAACAGATTGGTATAATGCACCTGAGTTTTCATTCACTACATTATTACTATTGCTCATTCCGTACTTCTGAAGTTTATTTCCAATCATTTTTATTAAGAGTGAGGTTAAGAGTACGAGGGAAGAGGAAAAACGCTCAAAATAAAGCATTTCCTATTATGAAAATGGAAATTATTCACTCTACAATTTTATTTTGTTACAAGTTATAATTCAGTAGCTTTTATATGAAGATAATATATTACTATGTCCCTTCAAATTAATATGCGATATTATGATTATAACGTGCTTTTGTGTTTACGGAAAATTAAATAGGAAATATGTGCGGTAAATAACGCTACATTATTCATTTATTCAGATATATACTTGTAAGCTTTGATGATGATTTAATAAACGTCAATAGAAGCTTTTGTCTGTTCCTTTTTTCCACCAGAAAAAATACCCGGCCGCATTAGAACTCACTCAAATCTAGTGTTATAAAAAAATAATAAACTTAATGACTAAAGCATAATTTGGTGATAAACTGGATATAGTCGTAGAGGCAAAAAACAATTAACTAAAATTGCCGGGTATCATTACAACTTTCAATAAAATCTAAATGATGGGTCAGATTATTTATTTTTCAAACAACATATTTTACAAAATCTGATGGATCATAGATTGAAATCATTGGTGAAATCACGAGGCCGATTCCTCTTAAAGCAATTAAAGCAAAAATTAATATAAGGACATTGAATGTTCGGACAGTGTGGGAGACGGGGAGGACTAATCAAATAGCTACGGAAATGAGGAAATACAACTTGGCAGTATTCGGAATCTGTGAAACTCACTGAGCTCACTTAAGCTGGACAGAAAAAATTAGATCCGGGAGATATGCTGCTGCACTCTGGTGACGAAGAAAAAAATGTTCCATACACTAATGTAGTTGTTCTGATGCTGTCTAAAGAAGCGCGTAATGCACCTATAGGATTGGAATCTCATGGATCCAGGATCACAAAAGCATCATTCAAAACAAAGAAGGAGGGGATTACAATGAATATTATCCAAAGTTATGCACCCACCAATGATAGCAACGACAACGATAAAGATAAGTTTTACGAGAAAATGCAGTCGATGTTAGCGAAGTACTCAGGAAAGGACCTGTTAATCCTGACGGGAGATCTAAACGCCAAAGTCGCGATGGACAACAACGGTTATGAAGATATCATGGGACAACATGAACCGATTGGGAGAAACGAATGGAAATGTGGAGAGATTTGCAAATCTATGGGCATTCAACAAATTGGTTATCGGTGGCATAATATTCCCACACGAAGCTAGCTACATGGGTCTCACCGGATCACACCACAGAGAACCAGATAGGTCATAGTTGTGTCAATAAAAACTTCATAAGGACAGTGGAAGACGTAAGGACTGGGAGAGGAGCCGACAAAGCTTCAGATCTCCACCAACTGGTAGTTGCCAACACGAAACTGAAGCTAAAGAAACATTGGACAGCTGGGGAAATAGCAGTACAAAGGTTTAATACAGCCTTCTTTCGAAATACTGACAAACTCAACGCATTCAAGATAACTCTCAATAACAGGTTCCAAGCCTTACAAGATCTACTGAAAGAAGAATAAACTAATATAGAGGACGACTGGAAAGGGACCAAGGAGACACTAACTTCAACATATCAGGAGGTGCTGGGCTTCAAGAAGCATCATCATAAGGAATGGATCTCTATCAAAACCCTGCACAAAATTCACTTATTGTTATTCTTAAGAAAAATAAGATCATCAGTGATTTAGAATAAATGAATGATGTACGCAGTAATTTCATAACATTTGTAATATCATCTTGTTGACTAAACTATTTATTAATATATCATTCAAGTAAATATGTGAATAATTTGTATTATAA